ACAATCACGATCTTATTTGTTTATAATATTTCCACAGACGTTCTCTCAGATCTGAAACATCACTTCGAGGTCATGAGTCAGATCTTGTTTGTTCCTTACCTATTCACCCATGTTCTGATTCTATTATAGCTTCAGTAAAACCAGAAGTGAAATATTTAGGAATAGCTACTGTATCTCCAAGAACATGGTCCAAAGAGAAGACTCTAACATTTCTGATTGTATCTCGAACATGAAAACATCTCTTAGTCGTTGGCTAACCAGAGACTTAACCATAGTTGGTAGTTATTCTCTCCAAAGCTGAAGGTCTTTCTAAATTAATTTACCCATTCCATTCTCTGTATATTTCTCCTCAAAACATCAAGAAAGACAACTCTATAATATTTCAGTTCCTGTGGAAAAATAAACCCATTATATTCAAAGATCTCATCTTGTTGGTGATTATAATAAAGGTGGTGTTAAAGCCCTGGATTTTGAATCACTTGTAGGAACCATCAAGATAAACTGGTTTAAAGCTTGTTTAACACATGTGGTTTCAAATACCCACATCTCTATTTAAACAGCTAGGAGGAACTGAATTTGTATTAAAATGTGACTTTGAAATGAGTAAAATTACTATAAAATTAGCTAGTTTCCACAAGCAAGTTCTTTCCTTCTGGAAGATGTTTACCCATAACTTTTCTCCCCATATGTCGACCTTACGGAACAATACAGTGATAACTGTTAACAGGAAGTCGATATTTAAAAGAAATTGGTTCGAGTGTGGTATTCCGTTTGTATTTGAACTGTTAGACTCAGATGGCAATTTGCTAGATTTTATGTCCTTCTTAAAGAAATATAATATAAATTGTACACAAAAAGAATACCGGCAAGTCTGTAAAGCCACTGGCTTTAAGACAGTTACTATACAACACTATGCTGGTTTCAGTAGTCAAACCAACACTACCTAATCTCAAAATAAAAAATTATAATTTATCAGATAGTAGTTTTGATAATAAGATTATCAATGCTCAATTTAAATCTGTTCTTTTTCATGATTATAATTCAGGAAGGCATTTAAAAGCTTTTAATGGGGATCAGTCTTACATGGAAAAGGCTTTCTCCAAATTTGTGAAGTGGCCCCGTCTCTCCAAAAATCAAAGAAACACATTTCAAAATAATTAATAACATTTACCCGGTAGCAGACTTTCTAAGGAGACGATTCAAATTTGAGGTAGACGTGTTCTTTCTGTAACTCGGTATGTGAAACAACACAGCATCGGTTTTGTTCATGTCCTGTATCAGTAAATTTCTGGTCGCAGATACACAGTTGGTCGTCACTAAAAATCAGTAATGTCCCACATTTTGAATGATCACACGTCATGTTTTATAAGGACAACCTTCAATCTTCTCTGACATGATCAACGTTGTTATTCTTCTGAGGAAATATATCCATTGTAGTAAGTGGAGGAATTTATTACCATCATTCACAAGGTTTATCAGTGACTTTAAACAATACTTTATTTCTCTCAAGAGGCAGAAATCTAACACTTATGTAAGAATCTATGAAGACGTTTCCAGGTTTTTACATTTTTGATTTGTTCCTCATGTAGTCTACGCTCTCATGATTCTGTCTTTACTGTTTAAATTACAAGGATTGTGAGATTTATGTAATCCCCCCTTCTTCTTTCTTTCTGTTTTTTTTCTTTCCTTCTTTCTGGTTGATATGTATCTTCTACAAGAGTTTTGTATTATGCAATTTGTAAAAAAAAAAAATTAAAAAAATAGTTCCTGTTCCAGTGTCAAACACAGGGACATGTTGGCTGACGGTTCCCTCTGCTGGCGAATCTGATCCCAGTTAAAAATTATTCAACTCCAGTGTTCCCAACTCTGGTCCTTGAGGAACACCATCCTGCATGTTTTAGTTGTTTCTCTGCTCCACCTGATTCAGTGGTTTAATTACTTCCTTAAGTTGGGCAGAAGTCTGTTAATCACCATTTCATTCACATCAGGTGTGTTGGAGCAGAGAAACAACTACAACATGCAGGATGGTGTTCCTCAGGGACCAGGGTTGGGAACCATTGAACTGAACTACAGGAAACAGGAACATAGACGTTGTGCAAAATGACTACATTTAATGTGCGCTGGTAGACAGAGGGCACAGACATCATGGCTAAAAGCTGAATTTAACGACAATATAAATGACATTAAATGAAAATTTAAAGACAATATCCTAATAATTCATTTGTCACAGATTTTTTACAAACCTTTAAAATTTCCTTAGAAAAACCCATTTAATATAAACTGTCTAATGAGCTTCAATTTGTTTTAAAAATAGCTAGCAGATCATATTTGATGATTTAAAGATACACAACAAATAGATTTTCTAGAAGTTTATTTAGAAAACTTTGTCTGACAGAAACCAAATCAGGCCATAAAGCATCTTTACAGAAAATTAATTACATTGGTGTTGCTTCTTACTTACACTATGCTGCATGGAAAATAATAATAATAATAATATTAATAATAATAATCCAACATACTATATGAATGTAAAATGAGCTGGTTCTTCTAAATGAGTGAAAAAAGAACAAATAAAAAAACAAACAAACAAAGAAATAAAACTGAGAACGGTCAAAGAAGTTCTTCAGAACAGAAAACATCTCAAACCAAATGTGATTTATTACATCAAAGAAGTGGCGAGTCTCTTTACAGGAAACGTTTGTGAACCAAAAATAAAAATAATTACAGACAGAAAACGGCCGTGCACCTTAAAGACATAGTTCAGATCTTTTGGAAGTGGGGTTCAGTGGAGTAGTCATGAGCGGTCAACATCTTACCTGTTGAGGATTAGTCCTTGAACGGCCTTGTTTCAGAGAAACAGAGATGAACTTGACGAGTTCACAGATGGACGTGAGCAGTGGTGTAAATATATTGTTTATATAAACTGTACTGAAACTTGAGAGATAAACTGTTTTGAGATGGCAGTAAAAGTTATGATAGTCCTGTCAGCGAATAACGACAGCATTTTTGATTAAAAAAACGTTTACGATAGTCCCTCGATTATCGTGGGGGTTACGTTCCAGACACCACCAAGATAGATGAAAAACTGCCAAGTACGAATGCTGTATTTATTTTAATATTTATATATAATAAGGCTTTATAAACCCTTCTCACACTTGTAATGTTCTTAAAAATGTTCTAAACTCTTAAACCTACATAATTGTAACAACACACATATACGTACTGTAGAGTACTGCAATGTTTTACATGGGTACTCACCAGTGAAGGTACTACAACTTGAAGGATGTTCAGCTTCAGGATTATTTGCGACTTTCGTTCCAGTTCTGTGAGTTTAACAGATGCATCGTTACTTCTGACTTTATGTTCCAAAACTGTTTTTACCACATCAGTTTCTCCGCCAGTGTTTGCTCCCTCCATTGCTGTTCTATGAATTTTGGCAGAAAGCACTGTTGGCTTTTGGGCCGTGTAGTTCTTTTGACTTGTGTTACAGTATAGTCTTATTGAAAGAAAACTATAAAATGGTGGCCCCTGTCCGAAGTACATTTACCGGTAGTTGGTTCGATTCATCCGTCTGAAGTACATTTGGTTTGGTTCGGTTCAGTTTGGTTTGGTTCAGTTTGGTTCGTCCGTCCGAAGTACATTTGGTTTGGTTCAGTTCAGCTTGGTTTGGTTTGGTTCACCCGTCTGAAGTGCATTTGGTTTGGTTTGGTTTGGTTCGTCCGTCCGAAGTACATTTGGTTTGGTTCGGATTGGTTCAGTTTGGTTTGGTTCATCCGTCCGAAGTACATTTGGTTTGGTTCGGATTGGTTCAGTTTGGTTTGGTTCGGTTCACCCGTCTGAAGTGCATTTGGTTTGGTTCGGTTTGGTTCAGATTGGTTTGGTTTGGTTCGTCCGTCCGTCCGAAGTACATTTGGTTTGGTTCGGTTTGGTTCAGTTTGGTTCATCCGTCTGAAGTACGTTTGGTTTGGTTCGGTTTGGTTCAGTTTGGTTTGGTTCGGTTCACCCGTCCGAAGTACATTTGGTTTGGTTCGGTTTGGTTCAGTTTGGTTTGGTTCGGTTCACCCGTCTGAAGTGCATTTGGTTCAATTCAGTTTGGTTTGCCTGTCTGAAGTACATTTGGTTTGGTTCAGTTCGGTTCGGTTCAGTTCGCCTGTCTGAAGTACATTTGGTTCAGTTTCTCCGCCAATGTTTGCTCCCTCCATTGCTCTTCTTTGATTTTCGACAGAAAGCAGCAGCCGGAACACTGTTGGCTTCTGGGCCATGTAGTTCTTTTGACTTGCCGTACAGTGTAGGCTTATTGTAAGAAAACTATAAAATGGCGGCGTCTGTCCAAAGTTTTTTTTGTTTGCTGTTTTGTTTTTTGTCTTAGTGGTTGATTCCTGTTCCCCTCCGCTTCCATTAACTTTTTATCTCATACCATCCCAATCACGTGAGTAATATGAAAGTTGACAATCGTGTCGTGTACAATCTTACGTTGAAAACCCACGAAAGAGCGAGTCCACGAATATCAAACCGCGAAGTATCGAGGGACTACTTTAATGCAAAATTGACAATAATGTAAATGTTTATGAAACAGTTTTTGCATAAATCACCGTGAAAGTTTTGAGATAGAGTTGTTTTAAGACGGCAGCACTCTTGGCTCAGCTCCAACTAGCCGTTAGCTCGTCAGTCTGATCAGAATTAAAAGCTATCTACAACAGGTAAGATGTTAATTATTCATAACCATTACATAGACCCCCACTTTGAAGAGTCTGTACCATTCTTTTAAGCGTTTCCATTAAAAACGGCTGATGATTATAAACCTTCATCACTGCTGCCGTGAAGAAGCTTTTAGCTTTTTCTGGGTCGCAGCTTCCATCCGACGAATCGGCTTTTAGCTTTTAAAGTGAACTTGCTGATTAACTAAACATTTCTTCAAAATAAAAGCAAACAAACAAACAGAAAAAAAATCAATCAATCAATCAATCAATCGTCAACTCTTCCTGCAGACCGGTTGCACCCAGGGAACTCCTCCGTGCGCCGATCTCGACTTTTAAAGCTCTTCTTTTTGATTTTTTAACTTGCAGTAGCTGAAACAGACACAAAAGCAGAAGCAATAAGGAAACAAGACTGGAGAATGGATAAACACGGGGGGGGGGGGGGGGCATTTTCATAGGTGGGACAGAACTGTCTCGATGAAAGGACTTGTGGGACAGAAAAATCTGAAATTAAGAATTTTTTTTTTTTTAAGTGTGATTTTTTTCCTCTCCTCATTTTTAACAACTTTTTGTGCTTTTAAAGTTAACTTTCCTTTATTTTTCATAGGCAAAACAAACTCCACCCCCTTTTTAAAAAAGGGGTGGAGCTTCAATCACCCATTCAGACGCCCAAATGCGCCATCGAAGTTCTGAAAAAACGCCCAGCTGGCGGTCGCTAAAACAGATTCATAGAAGGTTTGAAGCGACACTGATAAAGTTGATCGACTTGTATGTCGACGATACCACTTTATATTCTTCTAAAAATGTCCAATTTCTATTGATTATTAACTCAAGTGAAATGATTTTCTTTGAAAACACTTGTTATATTTAACCAACTTTAATGAATTATCAAAAAATTCTATTTTGATAGGTCAGTGAAGGTTTTGTTGTAGGATAAAGGGATTAATGATAGCTAAATATTTGTATTGTAAATAATTTAGCTCATTTTGAGAAGATAATTTTAATTTTTTTGCTCTTAAAACTAAAAATTATATTTAAAAAGCACCACTTTTAATCTAAAGGTCTACATATGCAAAAAATCTCTTAAGCCTGTAGGTCAAAATTCTACCATTCTTTAACTGTAGTTAAGGGCCGCACAAAATCACTCCAAGGGCCGCAAATGGCCCTCGGGCCACACTTTGGATGCCCCTGGATTAACACGAACAGGCGGTGGGTGATGCGGAAGTTCCTGAACAGTGTTTTCTTAAGTTTTAAAGCTGCAATCCCAAAACATCCAGTAGTTTGTACCAACATAAACACCTTCTTCCTCGCTACATTCCTACAGCGTGACTCCATTTATCTTCGTAGCTCGAAGCCAAGACGTCCAGCCTGATTGTGTTTGGGGAGGAAAAGCAGGACGTTTTAAATTCTGACATGAGGCATGCAAGCTATGCATGACACATGAGTACTGTGCGTGTGCATTCACCCATGCACTCTCCAGCGTCTGGACAGCGGTGGCATTTACACGCCACACAATAGCTCTAAAATAATGTGTTTATGTTAGGAAGCCCCTATCTTTCAGTCCCTGCTGCTTGTTTTAGGGTGTGGGGAGAGAAATCACAGGAAACACCTTCGGTTGCTCGGCAAAGGCCCTAAAGCCCATAGAGTACAATGAGATATTAAAAGCCCGCTACTTCCCTGAAACAAGAGCGAGGCGTTGTGTTTGGAGGAGCGGCCGCTAACCAGAGGAACTGTCACAGGAAAAGGACGCTCACCATTTTCTTCCCCGCCTGACGACTTCACTCCGAGGAGCATGACTCCATCTTTGGTGCTTTCGGGCCGGCTCTGGAAAGATGCGCTGTGGAGGCGAAGGGATGGGTTATCATCTGGTTCGCGTTAGTTACGAATAATATTTGAACGCCAGCTTACTTCTCTGTTCCAGTGTCAAGGGTTTCTGTTCAACAGAGCACAAGAAAAGACGTGAAATTGTAGATTTTAATACAAGTGAGGATTAAATACACCTTTAAACTGAACTAGTTTTATGGAAATATATATTAAAAAAAAAAAGATCGTATGTGACAAGCTACCTGTGTGATCGTGGACTTTCTTGCTTTTGAATTTGAAGACGATGGCGACCGCACCTACAACGAGGACGGCGGGCAGCAAAATCCACCACAGCCTTTTGTCTGAAGCTACAGGAAGAAAAGAGTCGTCAGCATTTGTGTGTCTGAGAGATTATTGTCAACCTTCTGAGCAAACATAAAGAACATAATGAAACTAAACGTAAACTCTGGATTTATGTACCTGAACCCATCATCCCTTCAAAGTGCTTTAAGATAAAAGTTTTAAAATGAAAATAAAATGTGTATTTTTATGTCAAACGGCTATTTTCCAGCTAATTTACAAATACTCTAATACAGTTCACGTTTGATTTAAAAAGGTGTAAAAGAAAGTCTCGTAGAAGTTCAGACACTTCTGTTTTTTTTTTGTTTTTTTTCAAAATAAGGGGGTTATAGATTAGTTGGTTCACAACCTTTACTAACAACCTTAACTTTAACAACCTTAACCACTTTAGTTGGGTAGGCTGCAGTAAATATTTCGTCTAAAAAATAAGATAAATTCTAGTGGCTATGCTAAGTTTTCTTGGAAAAACATTGCTCATTGTTAATAAAAGAGCAAACGAGTTAGCGTTAGCCAAAAGGCTACATTGCATCTACATTTAGCCTAAAAACAACTACCGTATTTTTCGGACTATAAGGCGCATTAAGGGAAACAAAGCAGATAAGTGAAACTTTATTCAACTCATTCACAATAAGCACATAAAATCAATTCGAGGTCAGTAAGCACAACTAGAATTAATACATAAGGTGCACCTGATTATAAGGCTCACTGTCGATTTTGGAAAGAAATTAAAGGATTTTAAGCGCACCTTTATAGTCCGAAAAATACGGTACAACATATAAAATGTAAACAGTTTCTGTATTTGGACTCTACGGTGATTCACAATTAATTTGTCTAATGCTAAGCAGTTAAGACACGTGTTTAGATTGTCAGACGTACTAACATAGCTATGCTAACGGCTATGCTAACGGCTATGCTAATGGAAATGCTATTTATTTTTCTAAATTTGGTCTAAAACCTGTTTAGACTGCAGCGAATGCAAACATTGTTTCCATAATTTGTCTAACTTGTATTTTCATTATTCTTATGAGTAGCGGCTTGTTGCGTTTATTTACCGACATGTCGAGTAGTTAGCAGTAGTTTGCAGTGACTAGCACGCTAACATGGTAAACACGCTTACCGCCGTGTATGTTTGTTCCACATTTACACTATAAAATGCGCAAAAACGTGTTTCACATTCGAAAATGAATCTGTGATTTCCACATGTGAGGTTCAAGTATTGTTTCTATAAAAGCATTAATCGCAGCAACTGATGATTTCAGCACGTCATGTTTTATTTTTTACTTCCAAAGTCAAGTCCAGAAACACTTTTCAACTCTGCCTCCATTTTTAGGTGATCTATAATAACACGAGCGTGGCGGGCCATCAAACTTACCAGCACCTTTCAGCTGAGCCTGTTCTTGGTCTTTTCCTCCACTGGGCTCTTCTGATATCGGCTTGGTTGTCTGGTTTGATACTTCCGAATGAAATTATAATCCAAGTAAGAGAAAAACCCCCCCACAATAATGCAGAGTTAGGAAATAATCTGCTGCCCAACCATGTATGATAAACTGTATGTGAGAAGCAGCTTCATCAGTGCATAATAAATGTTAGAATATTATCTGTGTAAAGATCATATAGATTTGTATTTTTCAAAATTTCCATCTCCGTTTCTTCCCCTCAGCTGCAAACAAAACTTAAATAAGTAAAATTCAAGGGCTACTTGAAACTTATCTCGCTCGTCGAGGTCTTACATGGTCGAAAATGTCAGTTAACTGAGCAGACTACAAAATAAATATTAAGCTGTTTGTATTAATTCATTTCTCACCTTTTGGCTCCTCTGGTAGAGTTTGGTCCTCTGTCTCTGGTGATACAGCAGTGCTGCCTGTCCAAGCTGATAATAAATAAATAAATAAATAAAACTCTCTCATAAATGTTCATTTTTTTCAATAACTAAAAAAAAACCCACAAGTTTTAGCGGTTTCCAGCTCTGAATCGAACATTATCGTACTTCATAAAGTTGGATCCGGTTTAAATGCATCAAATATGTTTACTGGTATTAAGGACACATTTTCTTTGCTTTTACACCATTTCCGAGTCACAGAATGTACGTTAATACTAAGGGGTGAAATGAAGCGCTTAAAAAAACGATTGTATAAAACTTGAAAATTTCAATACGACTAACTTTTATGGGTGGTCTGGGCAGCTGTGGTGGTCACGGTTGGTGTTTGTGTGGTAGGGCGTTCAGGTGACGGTGTAATCGTCTTTACAGCTGGAGTCGTCTTCACTTGAGGAGAGTCTGGGTGGAAAAACGGCGAGAAGCACCAACAATGAGCAGATATCCGTCTTCTGTCCACATGCGAATAATAAGGTCAAACTCAAAACGTCTTCTTCACTAACAGAAAGTCCAAACAGTAAATACAGCCTTTCCCCGATCTACAAGTGTTGGAAACTGACTGGGCTTCAAAGTGTTCGCTCTCTGTCAGGACGCTTGAACTCTCCGTTTCTTCTAAATGAATGAGAACGTGAAGATAAAATGAAGTAAAGCGGTCAAAATCATGCGAAGGGTTAAAAACAGACTTACCGCTGGTAGAGTTTGCTCCGATGGTAAGTCGAGGTGTAGTGGAGATGATCTGAGTTACTGGAACTCTAGTTGTTGGTTTGGCTTCAGTTACCGGTAGTTCTCCTGGTGCTTAAAGAAAAGAAAACAGTATCATGAATGAGAATTATTGGTCCGCAGAATTAAACGGAACTTGTTCACTTTCTGAAGGAGGAATATTTAAATTGAGGGTATTTGCTTTTACTGGGTTTATGTAGTGTTAACCAGGTTATCCTGTATGATTTGATTAAAATAAAATTCTTATTTAACTCTTTAGCCAGCAGCAGTTTAACCTCCAAAGCCGTACAGGGTTCTGCCCTGTCTCTTCAGGGTGAATACCACATCCATGGCGGTCATGGTCTTCCTCCTGGCATGTTCCATGTAGGTGACGGCGTCACGGACCACGTTCTCCAGGAAGACCTTCAACACGCCGCGGGTCTCCTCGTAGATCAGACCGGAGATCCACTTCACTCCATCGCGGCGAGCCAAACGGTGGATAAGAGAGTTTGGTGATTCCCTGGATGTTATCACGGAGGACTTTACGGTGACGCTTAGCGCCTCCTTTAGCGAGTCCTTTCCCGCCTTTTCCTCTGTCGGACATTTTCACTAACTCCTTATTTTATTTGTTGTTGAAATGTAGTTTAGCTTAGCTTGGCTTATCCCAGTATTCTGTCTTGCACAGCACATTCTACCCAACAACCCAGTGGTAAAAATGTTGTGTCCACTTTTGAAAATTGTTTTCCTGAAATTGATTTTATTGTCCTTGTTTAATTTTACTAACCTAGCTACTTCCCTTTAACTCAAATCAAAAAGTGTTTGTGATCACTCAACGTAAGAAAGTAAACAGGTTTATATTTCCGGAATCAAATGCTTCCAGACCAACTGGATTTCGTTCGCTTTATAAAAGATGCAGCTGGAAGCAGGTCAATGTTTGAGTTATTTAAATTTTAACATACTTGTGGGGTTTGCTGGAGTTGGAGTAGCTGTTTCTGTTGATGAAACTGAAAAACAGAAACGCAAGTGTTAGAGAAAAAAACAGATTTAACTGATGGATACACTACCTTCAGAGGTTCTGAATATTCTTGTGCCTGATCGGATGGAACACCACGCCTGGTTTAAACCAGAGTGGTGTTTTGTTGTTGGAGTCTGTGGTCATGATCTGTTTATGACAGCACACCAGGTCCAAGTACGGGAGTCCTCATAAGTACATGTGGGTCCAGGTCACACTGGGTTCCATGTCAGATCAGAAATAATTGTGCTATGAGATTGAAGCTGAGATGTCAATGGATCACCGACTGATGGTTAACTGGATCACCTGGCAGTGGAGAATACTTGAGACATGGAGTACCACCTAACCAAATAAACTGGGAACTTCTGGCAAACTACCCCAGTTCAGGACATCTTTAGCTCCAACGTCTAGTGGAGCATTTCCAGCACTACAAGAGCAGGTAGACATTAAGTCTAGCCTCTCTTATGACACTGGTCAGGTGAAAAGTCCGTGGCAACTGAAGGGCCTTGGCGCTCCTACCCTTCATTTAGAGTTGTACAGGTACTGTATGTAAAACAGTCAACCCATCTGGAGCCTTGAAGAACAAACCTCTTATTTACCTACATCAGCAAACCCAGCTCCAGAATTTAGAGAATCTTTCCCAAACTTTCTAACCTTTGCCTCTTTAACCTGCAATATGTTAAAAAGGTTGAAAAGATCCGGAAAAGCTTTCAATCGCCAGACTATGTCTGAAGTAGAAATCAGACACAGACAATAATCCCTGCTATTACCAGTTTTGTTGACACCATGCTGCTTTCAAGGTAAATCCTCAGGCAAGTATGCCCAAATGGCCTTCAGGACCATTATAACCTTTGTTCTATTACCACCCCAAGTTTTCCTTCAACAACTGTCTCATTGGATATTCTGATCCATTTCCACTGCCAAGACATTTTCCATAAATGAAGGTAAGGGACAGAGCCCTTGAATTTCAAACCCTTATTTGAAAAACAAGCTGGGGTTCTAGAGCACAGAGACCAGTAGATAGTCTACCATTTCATTCAGGTGATTCCATCTTGTTCATAGACCCTGGCGATAGTATCTGAGAGTGCAATGGAGTTTGTCCAACTAAACTGTGTTCAGTTGACTTAGAAAAGGCTTGCAACCATTGGCCACGTGTTGCTCCAAGGGAGGTGCTTCATTCAGTTCTCATACAGCAAAGTTGAGTGCCTGCTTTGCATTGATGGTAATAAGTCCTACTTGTTTTAGGCAAGAATTGGACTCTAAAAGGGATACCTTTGGCACCGAAGCCTTTCACCGCTTTTATGGACAGACTTTCTAGACACAGCAAGGGGACAGAAGGTTTTATCCACTTCGAAATTAATTGCTACCTTCTGCAGATGGCCAGGTTAGCCTCCAACAGGCACTCCAGTGTGAGCAACTCCAAGTTTTAAGCCATGTTCCTCAGCTGGTAAAGGGTGGGTCACCAGCCTTGGGTTGGAAACGAGATGGAACAACTTGCTCTTTTATTAAATGTTTACCTGGTTTTCATGTTAAAAATCCATACTGCAGAAACTTACTTTTTTTTTTACTTCCAGATATATATACTGCAACGTGATAAAACTGTTCTTAGAGAAATACAACAAGAAGTAATTTCTTGCAAAATGTACATCAAAAGTACAACAGAACACTAAGCAATCCTGCTGCTGGTGTGCTGTGCTCTACAGCAGAGGAGGTTAAAGGGAAACATTTAGAACTACTGTGGTACAAAAACACAAGTGTCAGTTTGTCTGTGTAAGACATTTCCTCAAACAGAGTCGCTATTTTAGGCCTGCACTTTTATTTGTTGGATTCCTGTTTGGCAGCGTTTGAAAGGCTGATGTCTGAGACAAAGACCTTTTTGCTCCAAGTGTCCGACTTGGGATGAAAAGTCAAAAGACAAGCGGAAGTTGTGGCATGACGAGGTGGACATCCTCTTCAACTAAGTGTGAAGCTGCATCCTGTCACAGACACAATTATTGTCCCCTGGGCCTGCGTCAAGCTTCCCGTCTTCCCTGCTGTCTCCTGCTGTCTGCTGGGATTTTATTCACCATATTTCAGAGCAGACATGGGTGGAAAATAAAGTTTTTTAGATGCAATCAGAGCACGTTAGTGTGGATGTATGAGTAAACACTGTTTTTAGGAGACGAGTCTGAACATTTGCTCGTCTTGAGGTTTTTTGGTAATCAAGACAACTCTACAGATCAAACGTCAGATGTCCCTTTTAGTAATTCAAAGAAAATACCGGTGTGCTATAGCGTTAACACAAAACACATTGTGTTTTAAAAGGTTAAAACTTGTAGAACTCTTGCAGGTTGCCACCATTTAATGACAAAGCTTGGTTAGGGGTGTTTCCTCCAGATGTTTACTGCTGGAAGTTGATTTGTTGCCATCTGGGACCTTCTGGTTTCAGGACAATAATCTGTTGTCTCTGTGAGAGAGGGGGCAGTCTGGTTCCCACTGGTTATCTACTGTTTGATCACCTATCAGCCCAGCACAGGACAGGGCTGGTATAAATCCTTCTGGCTCAGGACTAGGAAAAACAAACAAATCAAGAGCCAACGTTTGTCTTCTCCTTCAATCAGGCGACAACTTTTGGGAGGCATTTTAGTTCTATGAAAAAAATAATCTATGGACTTTTCAAAGCTAAAATTTGGTTTATAGTTTGAAAAACAAACAAACAAAAAAAAAAAAACTGAAGGCGAATACTCAAGGGAACCCAACTCATTTGATTTATCTTTGTCCAGATAAACACAAATAGTCTCTCAGAAGTATCTCAAAGGCAAAATTCAAAGTGTGCAACTCCTTTGAACATCCCTGTGATCTTAATCTTCATGCATACCAAAACTAAATTATATCAAGTGGGGATAAAAATACTCCAGCACTTAAAAAAATGACATCAAATATCCACAAAAGTGAACACAAATTAAGTGATTTTAAGCAATAAATTACTCTTGGATTAGTGAAAAGGCCCATTTCTGTCTACAAACAAGCCTGAACCATAATACATTTTCCCAGATGATATTCTGAATTATCACCCTACCTGGTGTGAAGACATGGACTGACGTTAGCAACAAGACGAGGACCCTGACGGACTTCATGATGAATGTGATCTCTGACTTTTCCCACAGACTCGAGTTGAGTGACCAGTTGTGTTGGTGTCCAAGCTCGGGCGCTCCGTCACTGATGCTTATTTTCACACTTCCTTCAGATAAAGAAGGGGAGGAAATACATCGGCTTCCCTTCCTGACGAAGAGTGGGTGGATGTGGAGACTGAAACAAGGCGACCCCCTCGGTACAAACCTGAGTCCGGTTAACAATACTCTGAGTTCAGAGTCGTGTGTTTGAGGCAACTCCCATCACTTATTTTTTCCTGCTGTGACAACATTGGATGAATCAGGAGGAACCCAGAACATGGAAGCAAAAAAAAAACAACTAATAAACTAAATCAGTGCAGTGACGGAAAAAAATAAAGTCATGCTCTAATTCTGCTTTTTTATACGAAGGTATAATAATCTGGTCTTTATCAGGTTCGGCAACTGCTCATATCTCAACTCGAGTGTACCAAAACACAAACCAAAGTCCGCCACTTTCACCAAAACGAAAACTGTGAAAAGCTCAGCGAACCCCATTGTTCAGTGACTGGTAGAGTAGATGTTCTAAAGTCTCTCACATGTGTGGAGAGGAAGCTTTGGTCCGGTGTTGTTTCAGTTTATTGAAGTTTGCAGACATTTGTTTCTGCACAGCTATCTCAGAGTTGCATCACAGCATTAACCCTGGCTAAAGTCTGGACATTGTCCTTCATTTTTTTTACCCTTTCATTCATATTGTCAAAAATTTGAACCAATCTGGCCCAAGCGTTAAGGGCACTCCATCCGAAGCCAAGAAGTTGTCTCATGGTTATGTGGTTGTGAGGCTTTTTTTTTTTTTTGCACACCATTCATAGTTTACAAGACACAGAACAGAGATCCTGGGAAATCCCTCCCACTGTAGTACAAGTCATGCAACACTTTTTAGCAGAGGTGTGCACAAAGTCTGTTGCAAGTTCTAACCAGGAGATTTTGGTCATTTGATATTTATATATCCGTTTCTGAGAAGGAGTGGATGAACCTACTGCAAGAAAAAAAAAGCGTTTTGCGTCACGCAACTACATCAATAAGAACAGATTTCTTGGCTTTCGATGGAGTAAAAAAAAAAAAAACTATTTAACTCAATAGTTTGGTAAACTGAGAAGTTCAGGATTGACTTAATGAATGCAAAGTACCTACATGTAGGTCCTGTGGCTGCAAAACAATAGTCAACTATTGACTCTTTTACAACTACAGTAGTCCCTCACTTATTGCAGGGGTTACATTCCAGACACCCCTGCGATAGGTGAAAATACGCAAAGTAGGGACAATATATATATTTTTGTATTTATATATTTTAAGGCTTTATAAACCCTTCCCACACTCTTGCAATGCTCTTAACAAGAGCAGACAGACTGATGCTACAGTAACTGAGCCAATCCCAGGGGAGGAATGGCCATCGGGAGCACCAGGACATTTCCTGGTGGCCTGGCCCACTCAGTGATCACCAAGGGGCTGGACCAAAGGCTCGGTTCGGGTCGCGCTTGATTACTTTAAATAAACAACCCATGTCGCTCACTCAGGTATCAGCTTCCAGAGTGAACAGTAGCGATGGGGAAACAGACCCCCCCGTCCCCTCCTTTCTCTTTCTGAGGCTGTCTGCCACAGCAGAGCAGAGACACACAACAGGTTTTGTACCCGTCTGTTGTGTGTCTCTGTTCTGCTGTGACAGACAGCCTCAGAAAGAGAAAGGAGGGGATGGGGGGGTCTGTTTTACCCCATCGCCCATCGTGTGTAGTGTACAATCTTACATTGAAAACCCGTGAAAGTGTGAGTCCAAGAAAGTTCAAGTATCGAGAGACTACTGTATTCTGTTATCTTGAGATGATAAGGCCAGAATAGAAAAAACACTTAATTCTTGAAATGACGTTATTTTGGAAAACCGTTTTTTTTTGTGTGTGATTGCAAGATCATGATGTAAAAATTTGTAGTTCTTTTGTTTCGCCCCGTTCATTCTTGAGTATTGTACTGGTAGTTGTAAGATCCAATAAGTGCTGTCATCACTAAGAAACAAGCTTCTCTATCTCAAGATTGATAAACAACTTAATAAAATGTAATTGAATAAACTATTAAAGCTCTTTTATCATCATGTGCTGTGATGCAGTTGTTTTGAATGTTTATTCACGATAGGAGATGTTAAAAAAAGCTGACCGTGATCTTTTCCAGGACATAAGCTCAATTTTTTTTGTTTTACATTTTACTGAACAATGTGTGAAATTGTAATTAATTTAAAGCTGTAAACATTAGGCCAAGGAGAAATTCCAATAAATGCTGACAGCCTTAATTTTTCACTTCATTGTCAACTTCACAATAAACAAATTCAACTGGTTTTCCCCACTGGAACTAGAAAAACCTCAGTTTTGTAAAAAACAAATGAATAAATCACAAAAAAAAACAGGATGTCGGCATTTACTTCCTTTGATTCGAGCATTGTGTTTGAATAGATTCAAAGTGACCAAGGCCAGAGCCTCTTAGCTAAAGCTGTGAAATCAAAAAGAATCCAATTAAATTGTTTTAAAATTTTAAATAGTGACAAGTTTGACTCATGTTTTGTAATTCAAGCTAACGTGTACTTTAATCTTTGTGCAGAGGAGCGGATATTTGTCGCTCATCATGCACAATGGTATGATTGTGTAATCTTGGCTTCATTTTTTCAAGTTTAATCAAAGTCCCCAAGGTTGCTAAAGAGGAAACACCTTTGTTGAGGAATCACCAACAAGCATCGAGACAGTCGCCAGAAGACGCCTATTTGTTCGATCAAGAGGAACTGAAGACAAGAAGAAAAAAATCACTAAACATATAGAGCCAGACTTTTTCTAGTCTTTTAATGAGGGTGTAGTAAAAGTATTTTAGGCTATTTGAAAGTCTTTTAAAGTTTTTGACTGGATTTATTCTGATTTTCCACCCATTTTCTGTCAGGACTTTGTATCCGATGATCACACCAAAATCTGCAATGCCTGCTCAAGAAAAATGAGGAAAGTGGACTAAAGCTTGGGTGTAAAAAATAAATAAGTTAATTAATAAAATTACCAATATCTAGATATATGTCACTTCTTTGGGAGACAATAATTTTTTTTAACAAGACCTAAGGGATGCATTCTTTCAGCTAAAATCCCTTTGGTAGTCATCTTGTTGGCGCTAAAACACAATTTTCTGAGTGAAACTATCATATTTTCAGTATTTTTATGGTGTTAGCAAAAAAAATGGAAACAAATTGTCTTTATGAAAGGCTGCTAATAAAGTTACAAGCTAGCAAGTTAGCTATTACTGTAGCTCGCTACTAGCAAAGGATGTAATTTGATATTTTTTCCAAGTCACCTACAAGTTGCTTGCTAGCTAAATAGAACTATAGCTAGTTACTAGCGAAGAATCAAATTTGATTATTTTCTAAATTAAATACCAGCTAGTAAGTTATTAGCTATGGATACAATTTGATTATTTTCCAAGTTACTTATTAGCTATGTTACTAGCTAGGTAGTACTTCAACTAGCTAAATATCCATTTAACAGTAATTCTTTCCTAAGTCAACTACTAGCTAGCTCATTACTAGCACAGTAGTTACTAGCTAAGGATCCAATTTGACATCCTGTACCTGCCAACTGTCCAGATTTGGGTGGGACAGTGCTGGATTTTGTCCCTCCTGTCCCACATCCCACATAAGGACACATGCAACAGCTCAATGTCCAGCATTTGACAAGCGCTAGCTGAGCTTTAATGCCGTGTATGTGTGGGTGGAGGGATGCAGAGGGGCTGTTTTGTGGGCTTGATGAAATTACTATAGTAGTCTATGTTGGCTGTAAAGTGCAACTTCTTTGCTTTCAGAAACTGCTGGCAATTTTTTGATAGCACAAACTATCGCAAAGTTACGGTAATGCAAACCGAGCTTGTAAAAAAGTGCCATCGGTGAAACGCGCAGAATAAAAGATAAACATTTTGTTGTTCAGCCATCAACCATAATTTATTAGGATTGAAAATCTCTGCTTGTTATACTGTATTGAATATTGATAGGGGTATTGCTTGAGTGTTGGTGCTTGTGCTGGGGGTGTTTTGAATGTCAAAATGTTCCAGGAAAAGTGAGTAATCTAATCTTTAGTTGGTGTGGCCATTATGGACTAATGGTGGGCTCAAAGATTTGTAGACATATTTCTAGGACAGCTTGTTTTTTCTATTTGTATGTGTAGTTGTTCCGTTACCTACAGTACCTAGTAGATTTCTCAGGGTAGCCTGCTTTGTTACTATAGAGGGGTAAACAGTGCAAAAGACATTTTGTGATTAAAAAAGTACAGTATGATGCAGTCAAGACAAAATCATGGAGCTCAGCGAGTAAAAAAAACAAACAAAAAAAAAACCGGATAAAAATCAATTTCAGCTTAAAGGCCAGTTAGTGTTTATTGTTCCACTTTTCAATAAATATATTGATTTTATGCTTTTTTGTCTGAAGGGCAGCACGGTGGTGCAGTTGGTAGAGCTGCCGCCTCTGAGTTAGATGGTCGCCAGATTGGGGGGGGGGCAATTCTGGGTGGAGTTTGCCTGTTCTCTCTGTGCATGCGTGGGTTTTCTCCGGGTACTCCGGTTTCCTCCCACAGACCAAAATCATGCATGTTAGGCTGATTGGTAACTCTGAATTGTCTCTAGGTGTGAGCAAATGTTAGTCTTGTTTGTCTCTATGTGTCCCTTTGATGGACTGGAGACATGTCCAGGCTGTCCCCCGCCTCTCACACATGATTGCTGGATATGGGCACCAGTGACCCAAAAAGGAAGAAGCAGGTAATGATAATGGATGGATGTTTAATTCTAGGAATTTCATCAGCTGCTCTTCAAGACTGGAAAAAGCATCGTTTTGAGTTTCCAAGGGCGCATGCCCCCGAACACCCCCCCGCCCCCCCAACACTGCTTTACATTGCTGGCGCTCACAAATACACGTACCAGTAGGTGCCTCATTGCCATCAGCAAATGTTGGCAGGTATGATTTGATTATTTTCCATGTTAACTACTAGCTAGTAAGTTACTAGATAGCTAGTACTTTAGCTAGTTACTAACAAGAGATCCACTTTGATCCTTTCCTAAGACAACTACTTGCTAGCTAGTACCTTTAGCTGGTTACTAGCTTAGGATAAAATTTTATTCTTCCCATTTTTATTTAGAGTTCAGGGTGGCATGACTATCAAAAATGGTCAGTTACTGGGACTGAAAACAAAAACTCCACTGAACGTTTTTTTAAAAGACTCTTGGAAAGCAAGAAAAACATGTAGCTTGAGACTGCCATTGAAGTTGGTTTAAACTTCATATGACTGACACGATGAATAATTAGCTCTTTGTTTTCAGGCATTTTTCCAGGTGCAAATGGGACATTCCGACTCTATGATCTCTATTGTTCATGCCTTTACCTTCCTTGCGTTTTTAATTTATACCCGTTTGAACGCGTGCTTCCTGTGATCATTCACGAGAAGAAAAACTTGTGTATTTTTATTTCGGACGCCTTTCTGCAAACGGGGGCGACTGCAAATCAGCTGGGGTCACACGAACACACGACAAGCAGGTTCGTTTCAAGTTGAAATTCATGCACATTTTTATTGAACAGTTATATAAAATACTTCTCATAGTTGCAAGTGCATGCCTCATCTGCCAACAGTTCTGAAGTTAAATTACAAAAGCAAGGCTTCATGTCGTGTAGTGAATTACTCGGGCACTTAAAGCAGTCCTTAAAAAAGACCTAAGTATATTTTTTAGTTTCATCTTAAAGTATTGAGCAGTATCAAACCTGTAACTGATATACAAAGCAGAGTTCCAAATAATGGTATAATAGGAATCAAATTACACTTTCTGTGGCACATTTACAAAACGAAAACTGATTCACCTGGTATATGACACAAACAGCTAATCATGCATTTTGGAGTTCCACATGTAATCACACACCTCACAAGAATTGTCAAACATGCTTAACTGGACTGTGTGCACTTACAAGCGCAGGTTAAAAATAAGATTTCTCATCCATCTTAAATAATTAAATGCTTCAATTACAAAAGGAGTTGAAGGCATAGAGCATCATGGTGTTAATTGACAGTATGCAAGTATACGTTTCCAGTATATGTTCACTAAAGCGCAATATATCTCAAAACAGGCCTTCACAGCCAAAGGTATTCAGATTTTCTAATGTCTTTGATTTTTATAAAACATGCATAGGCAGACACTTTAATATATTCTTCTTTTTTTTTTTACACAATATAAGATCTCTATTTTTACTTTGTTCGCAATACTTAAAAAGAGAAAAATTAACACTCAGTTCCAGCAAGCCACAATAAAATCTACCCCCCCATTCCCTTCCAAAAGGAGACGTAAAATAAACATATTTGCAAATGATAGATAGGTAAGTGTAAATTCCAGTTATGAAACTCAAGAAAATAGGTATTCATTACAGTTATTTAACCATTATACAGAAAAAAATCAGGTCAAAGCACACACCAAAAGAACCTGAGGTAAGCAGAATATGTACAAAACCATAAAACGTTCCGTTATTTGGCATTTCGACAACATTGCAACATTCCTTTTAAGACTGCCTAATTAATTTCAGAGCTATTTCATAAGAGTAGCAAAAACAAAAGTTATCAATAAATAGTCCTTATTTAGTTTGTACACCCTTAAAAACATTATCTCATGTTCTGTCCTTTTAGTGCTGTGTTTTTGTAAACGTACATGTTAGTAAGAAGTTATACGACTTTCCATTTCGGTGTAAGTGAGCGAGGGTCTTTTGAGGAAAAAAAATAATCCTTTAACTCTAAAGTCGGTCTTTCTTTCCTGTTTCTTTCGAAGTGTGATGTGGTTCACAGTCAGGCGCCTTTAATGCGTGACTGCAGAAATGTGACCTGGCAATAACGTCGCAGATTTGACTAGAAACTAAAATAATGAAGGCAATTCCAAAGACTAGCAAGTGACATGTCCACCCAGTTTCAATAGTTGCCTCCCCAATCCACACTCTAGCCCTCCCCCTTTCTTTCACCCCCTGCCCCTTTTCAGCAAAGTGGCGTGCTGTGATGAGGCTGGGGGGGCCAGGCAGCCCCGTCGGCCGAGGTGGCGCCTGCGGCCGCCGGCCTTCACTGGATGTTGCTGCCGCCGCTGCTGGTGCTCCCCTTAGCGTCCGTGCCGTTGGTCTCCGACGACAGCGCCTTGTTGAACGAGTTGAGGCTGGAGTCCAAGGGCAAAGCGTCTCGCCGTGGCGGCATCCTCTCGTTGATGCGGTCCAAACCCTTGGCTTCCTCAAAGCTAGTGATCTTGTGTTGAGGTGAGAAGCCTTTGATGGCTGTTGAGATGTAACAACAACAACAAAAAAGATGGAAAAGAATAAATCAAAGGTGGGTTTAGAAGAGGAGGAACCAACACGTAACCAAATTTAGCTGCTGTTTGGTTTGATCTTCACTCGTGGAATAGTGAGAACAAATCTTGTTTCACTAAGAAAATGAAAGCATAAAGACTGCATGGGAGGATTTGGCTCAGAAACTACTGCTGATAACTTTTTGTTTTGAACATTTATTACTGCCAACTCTCAAATTTAAATGCTAGGGGAATGCAGCCTCAACCATCTCATGTTTAAATGAAAGGGTAAATATCACAATATATGAACAAACTACTCACTGACTAACAAACTTAAACACCCAGAAGGAATGGATACAGGAGGTCATATTTGGATGTAGTTTGGTACACGTGCTGACCAGGGATTGTATGCATCTGGCATGACTAGACTGAGCATCAGAAAACACAAGTAGTGGTCAGAACAGTAAGTGAAGGTCACTAGAGGAAGTCTTGTACACTTGAGGCATTAATAGCACTTGACAAGAGTTTGATAACCTTGTATTGTGCCAAGTGTCCAGCATGTGAACCAGTGGCCCAGTGTCAGAACCGGGGAGTAAGCAAGGCCAACACCACACGTGAAGAAGGTTCAGGTCAACCAACAGAGACCACTGATGGAGAATCACTGTATCGTGCATCAAGCATTACAGAGCCCCATGCCAGCTACACCTTCTGTCTGGACACAGGTACTGGACCTTTTACAACACACACGTCTTGACTGGCCATCAGCCTTAGTGCAGGGATGGCTATGCTTGGACCTTTGCTATAACCAGGAGGCATGGATCGATGATAAGTGGAATCAAATCACTTTAGACCACGAATCTCAATTCTGCATTACAGTGGACAATCATTGTGTGCACATATGAAGGTGCTGAGGGGAAAGGACTAATCCTGTCAATGTTCTTGAGACACCCCTGTGTTACTCCTGGCATCATGGTGTGGGAAACCATAGGTAAAGAGTTTAAATCACCTCTGGCAGTGACTCAGGGGATGCTGTCAGCTATGGGCAACATTCTCCCTTCAGAGAAAGCACCCTTGTATAATCTTCCAACAAGGCAACACCTATCCACATCGGGCCAAATTGTTTGCGTTGGTCCTCTCATGGACAGCCCAATCAAACAAATGTGGACTCCAGTGGAATTTGTCAACTCAGACTAGGAGCAGAGTTTACTTACTGCCCACTGACATGAAGGATAGCAACGAAGATCCTCCACTCCTGTCTGTTCTGGGCCAACTTCTGCATAGTACCTGAGGTGTGGTTTAGGGTTTCATCTCTACCTCTACCTTTCATCGCCAGGTGTTTTTCGGTCTCCCTCTTTAGTACTAGCGTTCTGATGTCCAATGTAAGGTTGTATGGGTAATGTTACCAGGATCTGTTCCTAAGCACATGCCCAATCCACCATAACGGTATACATGCTGTCTTGACAATGAGCAAGCAAGTGTTCATTTGAGACAGTGTCGGTCCAGAAGACTCAGTTTACTCCACAGGCTCCTTGTGTGAAAAACAGAGAACTTGTAAAGATCCCCAGCAGTCATCCACCAACACTGATCAATGAAACAAGGTACACAGCTCTGGTAAAGCTTCAACTCGGTCTTTGTGCTGTACTTATGGGACCTCCAAACATTGCTTAACATTCTGAAGGCATTTCTTGCTTTACTTAGACAATTCATTACGTTACTGCCTGCTTCTCCATCATATTGAACAGTACTGCTCAAGTAGGTAAACTGCTTAGTTATGGGGTTATCTTCTCCAGTCCTTCACCAGTGTGGGGTTTGAGATGTTCAGAGTCATCAACTCTGTTTTCTTCAAGCTGATCTTCTGACCTTGGTGGTTTCATACCCTTCTGACAGTGGACCAGTAGTCAGTGTGTAGTGCCATGGTATCCATTTGATCTGAATATTTTATGAGCAACATGTGGTTGGATTTATTTTCCACCACTCCATCTGAGTGTTTAAGTGTTTTTAATTTTTTTGTGACAATGAGTTGTTTTTTTCTTAACTGAACGGCTAACACAAACTCTCCAACAATTAGTAACAACGTACATTTTAGAAACTGGATCATTTTAAGTTGCTCATTTTCTATAAAAAGATGACACATTAAACCCATTTGTCAGCGTTTAAAAAATACAGCGGGACAGACAAAGGGATTAAATATCCTAAATCTATAAAAGGGGCTGCTGGCATCAGGGTCAACAGGTTTTCACTTTAACATGAATCCATGCTTTATAGAGTCAATGTGAAAAAGACATTTATAGTAGAGGACATCCGGTACTGCCATTTAAAATATCCTCAACGTTGTTTGTATTTTATAAATGTGAAAAAAAAATGGCTTGTTCAAGAACACCTGAGGACCCCAAACATCCAGACTGCCCCATCACATCACAGCTTGAACAAAAAAATATAGGAGAAAACAATGAAAAAAAAAAAAAAAAAAGGGAGGGAAGGACGATATAAAAGAAGAGTGGAGCTCACGGAGACATTCACTTCCACAAGATAGAACCACGATGAGACTGAGTTCACGGACAGAAACACTACAGATACTTCATGGTGCTAACCACTTGTTCAGTCTGCTTAGAGCATGCAGCAATTAGGATTTACTCTAAAGCATGAGGGATGGAAGTCACTAAAGCCTTTAAATTAAATAAAAACAACCAGGATCAACTGAACTGAATATGGGAATTAGAAATAAAATGAATAATTCAAACATTCAGCTTGACTGAAGTTCATTTGAGATCAAATTTAGTTACTTTATTCAATAAATCATAAATACTATGGGTTGTTAAAGGCTCTTAATAGTGGGGATGTGGTGAAAACAACATGACCCTTTACTGAGACGAGAGCCGAAGGGGTGTCATTTTAGAGAAGGCGAGAGGAGAGAAGGGCATGATGGGTAGTGTAGTTGTGTTGCTGCATGGCACAGGTCAGACACAGGTTATTAGCAGCTCACAGAAAAGAACACGACACAGCAGCGCCACAGAGGACTGACATGAAGAGAGAGACGCAGAGAGGACACTACAGTGGACTGTCCTCTGTGGGGTGTAAGAGGAAGTACCGGACATTTTCAACGTAAATAGCAGCTGCCATACTACTATTTAGCTTGCAGTTGAGGTTGTTCTTGCGCCAAAAGAAAGATAAAATTATTATTATTATTTTGGTTAGAAGGAGAATCCAATTTGGATAACTCCCAAGGAGCGTTGGATTCGTGCTCTCCGGTAATTTGTAAATAAACATAAGAGCAACAACAACAACGCACAACTGCTTCAGCTGTTTCAAAGGGGAGAAAACAGAAGATTTCATAGCAAGACTTCAGTGAACTGTGTGAGGGCAGTGCAACGACGAAAATACTTTTACTTTGCATCATTATTGTTATTATTATTTTATCATTATTAACCTTTTAAACAACTAACAATGGAGTAGTGCTTGTAGGTGCAACATTTCTGCTGCTATCATTAAGATTTCTATTATTTTGTGGCACTTTTAACAACTTAAAGTTATAGTAGGGATATCCAAAAAAAAAAAAGGTTAAAAACAAAACTGGACTTTATTTGTCTAGTTGTTTTGTTTGTAACCTTTTTTTTTGGATTTACCATGTTCTGGATGACTGAGAATCTTTACCAGTGTATAGTTGGGGTACATTTTAAAGTGGGGTTCTGTGCAATCGCTATGAAAAATTAATATCTTACCTGTTGAAGACAACTCTTTGGTGAACTTTGGTTTGAGGATATAGAGATTATTTCTGACCCGATTCACACGCTAAAGGCTAGTCCTCTTTCACAAATTTCACAGTGGCTCATATGAAGTTTTTTTTTTTTTTTTTTTTAAATAAATAAATAAATATTTACAGCCCTGGTAGAAATATGATGACATTCGTACAGGAAGTGCCACAGGCTAAATAAAAAGTGCTACAGCTACCTACTAACAAAATACCATAGACTTAAATGTTAAAAAATAAAAACTGTGATAATCCATTATGGACAACTGTTTAGCAAAGACTCGTTAGCTAAAAGTCAGTTTCAAATTTTCCGTTAATTCGCCACTAATCAAAAAGACTAATCTACTTTTATCAACACAAGCTAATAATTACTTTGCTAGCTTATTAGTGTTAGCTTACTGTATATACTTTTATTGCATTACACCTATGGGCTCAAAAAGGTTTTAAATATCTTTAGACTGATGCAAACTACTGCTACTCATATTAGCATGGTAAAAATCACCAGTTGGTTAGCCTAGCTTAGCAGCTAGCCTGCCTTTCACATCCTAATGTGAAGAGTTTTATCACCGTTTAGCTCCGGTAGATTAACTTTTTCTTAACCTGCACTAGTTTGCAGTTTCATCTCACAAAGTTATTATGGCAGAAATATTAGAATAATTTTACAGGAAGCGCCCACGGCTGCACCGGAAGTGCTACAGCTAACTGCTTGCTACTTGTAAATAACAAAACAATTTTGTGTGAATAACGAACACTGTGATAAGATAGCTTCAGCTAACCATTTCAGCTGTTTAGCAAAATCTTCTTAGCTAAACAGTTGTTTAATTTGACAATAATAATCTAAAAGACAAACCTACCGTCAACTAACGCTAATCTTTACTTTTAATAAACTTGTTCTCGCTACTTGTCAGCTAGCTTGTGTTACCGATCATATTTTTGCCACGCAAAATGTTCTGAATGTTTTGTTTGTTTTAAATCCAGTTATGAGCTTAAAAAATAATGACTGCTCAATAATTAATTGCTAATCAGTTTGTTAGATTAGCGGTTAGCAATTTTTCTTATATTTTAATGTTTTAATGTATTTTTTCCACTATTAAGCTTCATTTCATTACTTTAACATTTTCTTTGTGTTAGCAAGTTGGCACTTTTTTTTTTAATTCCGGCAAAATAAATCATGTATTCTTACGGGAAGCGCTGCAGCTAGCTGCTTTTACAGTTATTTGGGCTTGTGAATAACAACACATTTAAACATAAACAGTTGTAAAATATAAATCTGACAGCGGTGCGAAGATTTATTTAAAAGCATCGCCATGAACCACTGTGACATTTTGGTTTTGGCGACGCTCTGACTAGCCTTTAGCTCGTCAGTTTGGTCAGAATTAAACTCAAAATTCTCCAAACGGGGATCTTTTTAAGGAACTAGCTAGAACAGCTCCATAAAAAAAACTGAACCATCATAAGTCCCAGAAAAAATATATTTTCTAAATTTTCTTGTGAAGTTTTTCAAACTTTAGATTTCTGCGGAGCTCTGACGAGTTTATTACAGAAAAAAAAAAAGTCCAGTCAAACGAGCACAGAGTAAAATAAAAGTGGGTTTTAGTGGTGCTTTAAGGATCCAGGATGCTCTCCTGCCAGCTCCTCTGGTTTCTGGGGAAGGTTCTCTGCAGCAGCCAGAGGACCTGAAGACACTCGTATATTTACACCTCCCACACTGTGCGAGTGTGATTGTGCACCTCTTCAGGTGCTGCATCTATCCTGACAGCTTTTATCATTAATCTCCATAATCCTCATTTAGCTGTTCTCTTGAAATGTAAATCAAACAACTTCAGTCCTTGTAGATCAGGGTTATTCAACTAAATTGCTCAAGGGACCACAGTTAGTGAAAGCCAAGAGCTCAGGGGCCGGCCGTCCAGCAGTTATTCTCATCAAGTACGTTTGTTTTCCAATTTAAAATCCAGTTTTTATTAAATATGAGCTCACCTGTGGGCCTGATTTGGCCCCCGGGCCACCAGTTGAATAGCCCTGTTGTGGAGCAACGGTCACCACAAAGCAAATGTTCGTGCAGTGACGTTTCTGTAAAGCTCTTCAGGTTTGCTCTGCCCTCGCTCCAGAGTCACAGCGACACTCCGTGATCGTGAACTCTGTGCTATGAAACGTGCTCCCCTTTAAAACGTGCCACCACAAGGTTTTCTAACTTACGTCTGTTTACTCTGTTGTTACTACGCCACATTTTGTTAGCCCAAACACACTCTATTCAAGCACCAGCGAGAAGATGGATGGAAAGCCCACCAAAAGCCCCCCCCTGTCTATTGCCGTGAAAAGCAACAGAAGAGGGCGGCCAGACCCATTTACCTTCGTCAGCCTCAATAGCTTCAATAGTAGCTGAAGAGAAGAAGAGGGGGGTTGCAAAACGAATGAGAGAAGTGAGCAAGAGGAGTTTGTTTTGTCCCAGGAACAAACGAGCAGCAGAGACAGCCAGAACCGACAACAGAGGTTAACGTCATCTCCACATTTCAGAACAAAAGAACAAGGATGTTAGCAAAGAAAACAGGAGGGGGAAGGAGAAAAAGAAAGGATAGGTGACCCATTTTTTGAAGCAGCAAACCTCACGGAGAGGACTGCAGGTTCTTAGAGGAGGTGCTAAAATAAAATCAAATATATTATGGATGAATATTTGGAGCAAGCATGACACAAAGCTAAAATAAAAACACTTTGTTGTGGAAATGACAGCGCAGATGAAGAAACTCAAGACAAAGACGTGACTTTGGTGCTTTTATTATGTTAACGTAAAATACTGTGGACACACGGAGTACAGTTACTGCTGCGATGAAGTAAAAAGCTCAGAGAGCCCGTTAGAGGCGTCTTTTGATAGAGACGTATCAAAAGTGCCGTCTTTGGTTGATTCGAGGGAGAGAACACCTGTCAGCTACTTACCGATGCTCGACAGTCATCCTGAGGGTCATAAATTTACATACAACTAGGAAAAGTAGCTCCACACGGAGGCTGGGGTGAAGCAGGCGGCTAAAAGGGACAGTTAGGATCTTTTACAGGCAGGGTTTGTGCAAATGGTGTAAACAATATCTTACCTGCTGTGGATGGACGACTCGTCCCAACAAGTGGATTGTTGTCGTCTTAAAACAACTCCAGTTTCAAAAATGTCTATACCTTTAAATCGCCGTCAGTTTGAAATACAGTAGTCCCTCGCTACTTCGTGATTCGTTTTTTGTGGGTTTTTTTTAAAGTACTGTACATGTACATAATATTTTCAAAAAATAAAAAAAAGCACCACCATTTTGTAGTTTTCTTTCATTAAGCCGTCACTGTTTTGCCGGTCTAAAGAACTACATTACCCAGAAGCCATCACTTCCCGGAAGTCAACACTGCTCTTTCAACCGCTGCTTGCTGCAAATGGAAGGAATGTTTTGCAGCAAAGTCAGAAGTTCTGTAAGTTCTGTTGCTCACGGGACTTCAGGAAAGTCTCAAATAATTCTGAAGCCGAACTCGTCCTTCAAGTTGTATCTTCACTGCTGAGCAGCTGAACTGCAGCTGATCCAGAATCAGTGTGACCCGGATCCTGGGAGCTGCAGACGACAGACGGCTGCAGGGCTCAGTCAGGTTCTGGCCGCGCAGTGCTGGTCCAGACTGGGCCAGAGGTGGTGGATTAAATCCTGGGCAGCAGCACGTGCACATCAAGCTGGATGGAGCGGTGGGCTTCAGTCATGCAGCACCGGGACTTTTTTCATCTATCGGGTCGGACAGGAACCGAGCCGTTCCTGTGCTGCAGAGCCTGGTAAGTAATACTTTGTAGCTAATTTACATACAAGTAAAATGTAAGTGTAAAATTAGTAGGTTTAAGAGTTTAGAGGACTGATTGTGGACTTCATCGCTGCAGAAACAAACTGAATAGAACAGAGTTGGACCTGAACCAGAGCTACTGCTGTTCTGCAGAGCTAGTAAGTAAAATTTAGTAACATTTGTTCTTAAAATGACTCAAGTTTAAGAGTTTAGAACATTCCAAGAGTGTGAGAAGAGTTTATAAAACCTTAATATAAAGTTTAATGTACTTGAACTTGGATTAACGTATTCATATTTCGTGGTTTTTCACTTATCGCGAGGCTTCAGGGTACGAATCCCACACAATAAAGGAGGGACTACTGTAACTTGATTTTGCGGCCGCACTGTTACGATCTTCCTGCAGGAAGTGCCTCAGACTGCACAGGAAGTGCTCACAAATAACACGAGTCTGGAAAACTGCAAATGAAACTTCTATAAAAATCTTTAGCTTGGAGTTGTTTCAAGACGGCAACGATCCATTTTCCTCTTTGTTCACTTCTGTTTTATTCAGTCCAGATTGATGAGCTATGTACAACAGGTAAGATATTAATTGTTCATCACCTTTACACGTGACAGCCCTTCAAAAGATCCCTTTACAGTACAGAAGAGCACAGAACAAAATGCCCACGAGGATGAGAGGCGACCACAACAGAAGCACGAGGACAGCGAGCGTGTTGTGACGGTGCGGTAGATGACGTCGACGTCACAGAAGAAACACGCCGGTGTTCGCTTCAACGATTCCTGTCCTGGCAGCAGGAATCTCTCACCATCACTCTACCTTTAATGGAGCTCTCTTTAGTGTCAGCTGCTTCCAACAAAAAAGGGTTCGAAAGCTGCAGAAACCAATTTTGAATACAATAACCCCCCCAGGACCCATTCTGTGAGAAATCAGAGTTGCCTCTCTAGATACGAGGGTGAGGATTTAAAAACCTCTAAAGCTGCAGGAAACTACAAAACGCTGCTTTACGTCATCTTTCACTTATTAGAAGCTCAGTCCCATCTTCCCCCCAAAGGAAGCAGCCGATCACGACCACGTCCTGCAGGTGTTTCTGCTACATCACCTGAGCAGGTAACGATGAACGGCATGAGGTGGTGTCAAAACAGAAGTAAACAAATCTACCTGCTGTCAGAGACTGAGCTGATGACTCTGCTGCTGGCAGTCCACAGCAGCGCATTTATTGTTGTCTGGACATTTATATTCTTCCACAGAGCTTCGACAAAGTATTCGCACCTCTTGGACTCGTCCACATTTTGTCACGTTACAACCACAAACTTCAAAGTGTTTGGGATTTGATGCGCCGGACCAACACAAAGGAGTGCGTGACTGTGAGGCAGAAGGAAAATGACGTGTGGTTTTTAAAATTTCTCAACTTTACCCCTCACCTTTCTGCAGTGTTCCTTGGTCTTCATGATGCTGGCTCTGCAACGAACCTTGCAGGCCTTCACAGAACAGCTTTGGACTGAGAATAAATGACTCACAGGTGGACTAATTCGTAAGGCTACGGTCACACTTCAGGTGAAAGCGCCCGAATCTGATTTTTTATGACAGTTTGAATGTGACTAGTTCAACTTTTTCCCCAGAATCAGGGTTTCACCTACCATTATACAAGTGAGGCGTCCTGTCAACAGAACTGAGCGCTCCGATTCCCTCACACTGAGACGTCTCCCAAGCCCCGCCTCCTCGGAAACTTTTGGTACAAACAGTGTGCAAGACAAAAGTGCCCCCCCTCCCCATCAACAAAAATCATGGAAGAGAGGAGCGCCCTGCTAACGCAAGTACAGTCAAGGGCCCAGAGTGGGGCAAATTAGAGTGGAGGCAGGAGTGGGCGCTTCACCTTTCCCACCCACATTTTGATGTTGTTAGTCCGGGGAGTTGAACCTGCGACCTTCCGATCAGAGACGCCCACCTTCTCCAACATCTGCGCCACCATGACTGTTTCACCAGTGGTACTAAATCAGATACGTGTCTGATGTTGTTCAAAGAGAGCGCAGCCTGAACGGTCATGTTGCAGTTTCATCAGACCTTTACATCAGTGAGGCGGGGGTGAGCGGATCAATCTAAGTATTGGATACTCGTAGTACTAGTAGTAGTATTTGATACCAAGCTCATACAGTTTACAGCTTGGAGCTCTACATCTTCAGCTGCAGAACAAAAGTCCAGTTGCTTCATCTTTGTTCTTTTCATTTGCCATGTCCTGGAGGACAGTCTACAGCAACATGAACCAATGCTAGTCAAACGGCTGCTAACGTGATGGGATCGATACTCGAGTTTGTTCCTACCTTCAGTGCGTCGCTCCTGTTCCAGATGTGAACTCTGCAACCGAGCAGCCACGAAGAGGCTAGACCAAATGGAATCACTGAACGAAACAAGCCCGTCAGAAAATAATTTACTAAGTTCCGATTGGACAACGTCACGTGCTACATATGCTAACATGTAGCACCTATGTATACTTCTGTAAACACAGCATGCTGCGTCACATCTTCTGCGGGTCACTTCAGGGCCGTGGACTGATGAGAGTTGTAATGTGAACGACCACGCAGAAAAATAAAATATCTGGTCTGAGCACTAAAACCTGCCGTGTGAGCGCAGCCTGATCACGATGTCTGAAGGCAAAATTAGTCGCACTGGATTTGAGGTAATTTTGAGTTAGCGTTGCACTTTTCTGGTTTTGATTTCGCTGAAAATTTTAGAAAACCACATGATTATTTTTCTTCCCCGTCTCAATTGTGTGTTTTTTCCGGGAACACATAAAATCCTGGTAGAATACGTGGTTCAAGAGGTACGAACACTGTTGTGAGGCGCTGTGAGGACACACCAGTGCAGCCTAAAATAAAATAAAAAATCTAGTGGGAAGAGTGAAGAATATCCTGATCTTAAACTCCTCTCTAAATCTGAACAGTCAACAGAAAACACAGGAGCATACTTGCACAACAATCGATTATACCTGCAGTTTCTAGGGAGAAAAGAGAAAGAAAAAGACACAGGTGACATTTGAGATCAAAAGCAGAGGATTTCAGGAAACAGAAACAGGACGTTAAGTGAGGACACACCCAAGAGGACAAAAAGACTCAAGAAAATCTGCTAAACGAGTTTGAACATGGTCGGGGGAAGAGGGGACTGGAACTGTAACTTGTTTCAGAACTTCATTTAGGTAAAAAAAAAAAAAGCCACATAGAGCAGCTGGTTTTGGTTTGTAGTGTTCAAATAAACAGGACAATCCAGCTAAAACTGTGTTTGAGGTTCTTCTGTGTTTGGACACGTTGGGGACCAGGGGACGAGGGTGGGGGTGGGGTGGGGGGGACGTGGGACTCTTTGTGTCACTCTTACCGTTCTGCAGCTTCTCTTTGCCACCGGACAGCACTCCGCTCGGCAGCATGCCTGTCGGGGTCAGACCCTTCAGCGTCAGCACGCTCTCGCTCTCCTCTCTGGAACGAGCAAAGACAAACTTCAGACGATCTGATTAAAAACAAAACAACAAGCCTGAAAGGAACTAAAGCACAAAAACACAGACTCTTACATTGACCAAATTTAAACTCAGTTTCTGTGCAGTTGCATTAAAGACATTTTTTACTGTTGTCTTGTTTTTGTAGCTCTAGAAGGGTTGAATGTAAAAGGCTCATGAATTCATGGTTTAAAGCTCGGACAGATTTACGGCAGGAAGACACGGTCTTTGTTGATTTCCCTTCCTCTCTGCAGCGGAGGTTTCCAGAAGAATAAAAAACACCTGCATTAATTTTTTCAACAGAAACATTTGCTGCTGTAATGCAGTAAAAATCTCCACCACAGAAAAAGCTTTTATAAACTTAAAAAAAAAAAATCAAATGAGAGGCGGGGGACACCCTGTACAGGTCTCCAGTCCATCACAGGGACACATAGAGACAAGCGAGACAAACAACCATTCACTCTCTCACTCACACCTAGGGACAATTTAGAGTTACCAATCAGTCTAACATGCGTGTTTTTGGTCTATGGCAGAAAACCGGAGTACCTGAAGAAAACCCATGCATGCACAGAGAGAACAGGCAAACTCCACTTAGAAAAGTCCTGGGCCGGGACTTGAACCGAGGCAACCTTCTCGCTGAGAGGCGGCAGCTCTACCAACTGCGTCACCGTGCTGTCCAGCATTACAAGCCAATAAGTAAAAATGTGTTTTAATATGTGAAAATAAAGTGGGACCGAGAATAGATCCTTGGGGAACACCACGTGTGTGTGTGTGTGGGTGGGGGAGATATGGAACTGCTGCACTAAGTTTAAAGGTTTGCAAAATTAATCAGAATAAACTTTATTGGCATTGCACCGAGATACAACGTGAATATGTACGTAGTTGTCCGAAGATGGGCGGAGTGCACGAAGCTGCGGCTATAAATAATTAGCGCGGCCTTCTTATTCTTATTCAAAATAATATTTTGCTTAGATAAGAAAAGAAAACACGAGGAGAGACGGTATAAAAAAAAAGATCTCTCACACCGTGTCCTAGACAGGGCACAATTTGAGGCATCAAAAAAACCTACCACAGCAAAGCAACATAAACAGATGTTATACATGAACATATAGGCGGTGAAAACATTGAATTTTTAAGGGAAAGTCGTAGCATAGTCCAGAGCCCCCCCTCAGCCATTGTCCAGATAAGAGGTGACGTTCATCTTCAGCTCAGTTGAGGTTCTGTGACATGTCCACGGCCTTGGGAAAGGGAGGGGTGAGGAAACAATCAAAGCATCTTTGTTGTTTTCAAAACATTCCAGGAGGAGTTGAGATAAGTCCGGCATCAAGGCCACAGTTTGGGTCAGGCAGAACTCGTAATTGTTGTTTCTGCCTTTAAAGTCTTGCTGTACATATTCTCTGATGGAAATCCAAAACAGCCGAATTGATCCTTTACTCCAAAAGTCGAGCTCACAGCTTCTCCAGATTATTCCACCATTCATGAGTGCTGCCAGGGAGAACACAGTCCTGATAACAGCTGCTCCAATTCCCTGTCACAGCTCCACATTCAGTCCGAGCACTGTCAACCTTCAACACCTCCACACAAATTTGTAGACAACCAGATTTCACCAACCCAAACAGTAGATTCTAGTCGTCATCATGAATCCAATTTGTTTCCTTCGAGGTCAGAGGGTCCTCCTTACCCTGACTCCTGTCGGGAGAAGTTGATCGATTTTGTTGAGAGACCAGCTGATCCTTCGAATTAAGAGGTATGCAGGAAAAAAAAGGCTTTTTTAAGGGTTCACAGGACAATTAAAAAAAAAAGTTAAGGAGAAATAATTCTTTTTTTAAAAGGGGTAACTTTGGTCTCCATTGTGGGTTCCGTCCTGGCCGTGGAACACTGGATCAGCTCTTTATCCTCACTAGGGTCCTCGAGGGGTCCTGGGAGTTTGCCCATCCACTCTACGTGTGTTTTGTGGACTTGGAGAACGCATTTGACTGTGTTCCTCGGGGCACACTGTGGGAGGTGCTCCGTGAGTACGAGACTGGGGCTATTTGTTACAAGCTGTTCGGTTCATATACAAGCAGTGTGAGAGTTTAGTTCACATTGCCGGTTGTAAGTCGGACCCCTTCAGGGTGGGACTGGACTCTGCCAGGGCTGCCCATTGTCACAGATTCTGTTTATAACTTTTTTGGACAGAATTTCTCAGTGCAGTCAGGGATCAGAGGGAGTCCGGTTTGGTGGCCTCAGGATTCCATCTCTGCTCTTTGCAGATGATGTGGTCCTGCTGGCGTCATCGTACCGTGATCTTCAGCTCTCACTGGAGCAGTTCACAGCTGAGTTTGAAGCAGCTGGGACGAAGATCAGCGTCTCCAAATCTGAGGTCACGGTCCTCAGTCGGTAAAGGGTGGACTATCCTCTCTGGGTTGGGAGTGAGGTGCTGCTTAACTGGAGGAGTTTAAGCATTGCTGGGTTTTGTTCATAGACTTTGTGCCGGTCCGTTGTGAAGAGGGAGGTGATCTGCAAGGTGAAGCTCTCCGTTTACCGATCAGTCTACATTCTAACCCTCACCTATGGCCACGAACTTTGGGTGGTGACCAAAAGAAAAAGACTGTGGATCCAGGCGGTCAAAATGAGTTTTCTCTGCAGGGTAGCTGGACTCTCCCTTAGAGATGGGGTGAGAAGTTCTGTTATTCAACAAAGATTCGAAGTAGGGCCGCTGCTCCTCCACATCGAGAGGAGCCAGTTGAGGTGGTTCAGGCATCTGGTCAGGATGATCCCTGGGCGCCTCCCTAGAGAGGTTTTCTGGGCATGTCCAACTGAGAGGAGACCCTGTAGAAGATCCAGAACACACTGGAGAGACCATGTCAGCGGAACTGGGAACACCTTGGAGTCCTCAGAGGAGCTGGAAGAGGTGGCTGTGGAAAGAGATGTCTGGACCCCCACTGCTCAAGCTGCTTCCCCCATGACCCGACCCCAGAAGACTGACTGTACACCACTGGTCAATAACCAGCAGGATCAGTCCTTAAATAATTAATTTCTTTGCACTGACAAAGAAAGCTCTGGAACTTGGTGCTTTAGGAGTAAATATAAATGATTTGAATTTCAAATACATTATGAACACATGTAACAATTATCAACTCACCCATAAAGTTTATGATGATAAAAAAAATAAATGAAAAAAAACATTCCAGAAAAATTGAAAATGTTCAAAAACTGAAATCAGAAGGTCGGACGTTCTCAAAAACCGAAAAACGAAAGTGGCTAAAACAATGATCCACTCCCACAAGAAAAGGGTTAATATTATAATATACAATAACCTCGATGATACAAACACCACAAAATAAAAGTTTAATATCAAACCCAACCAGTTATTGTTAAAATGTTACGTTTTTGCAGGAACATTTGTTTTGTTGAGCATTTTGTACAATAGTTTTTAAGTCATGCTTTCATACCTGAGCACTGAGAACACCCTGGCCATCTTTCCAATGGCACGGATCTTGTTGCGGATGACTTCTTTACGGGCCGAAGCTGTGGCACCTAGAGGGGTCAGAGGTCAAGAGCACTGTCACACAACCCAAACCCATCCATAATGGACAAATAAACAGTTCGCCGTCTGAGCTTGTATTAATAACAAAATGTCTTCCTACGTCATTCAGACTTTGTGACTGGGCTGAGTGGGAGCAGTTTGTTGGACTATTAGTTTCACCAACAAGTGCAAAACAATTCTAAAAACAAACAATATGTGGTTATTTAATTTATTGAAAAGGTTTGAAGTAAAAACACATCACAACATCTGAGAGTTTCTCAGCATTCGGTGCATCCATGCTAACCATCTGTTACGTCTGTCTAATGTTTGCATCCGATCCTTTCCAGAAATTAAACCGTGTTAGTGTGGATCATCAGTAGTCTGATCCTGGAGCAAACATGTCTGTTCATCATGTCTGACAAACACATGCTCTGATGTTTCCTGTGCAGCGTTCTAGTTTCCTACACTGGAACACTAAACTTTTTATTTTATTGCCCTCAAAACACTCGTTTCAATCCTCTGGTTTGAAGGATGAATAATGGAAATGATGTAAATGTGAGATGAAAAGCTTAAAACAAACTGTATTTTCTTAATATTTTCTCAACAGGAGTCTCCCTCAGCTGTAACTTTTAAGAATTGTCTCATGAGACGCTTCAAGTAGGAGAAAATAACCTTGACGTTACCGACGCATCGTCTAGTTTGATCATTGCCAACACAAAGACTCAGCGTTATAAAGGCACAGTTGTGGTAAGAGGTTTACATCCACTCATTACAGTCAGGATTGTCAGAAATATTAAGCATTTAATGATTATTTGAAAACTGGGACTGGGCGCACAAGTTTGAATTTGTTGTATAATTTGTGATTGTTTTTATGCCGGATGTTCTTCCTGACACAACCACGGACCACGAGCTACCACAGCCCTCTGTGTGGAGCAGAGAGCTGCCATCTACGGTGCCCAGGGGAGCAGATGGTGGGGGTTAAGGGCCTTGCTCAAGAGCCCAGAGTGGAGCAAACGAGGGTGGAGGCAGGTACGGGTGTTCCACTTCTCCCACCCACAATTCGATGTCGTTGGTCCGGGGAGCTGAACTGGTGACCCTCCAACCACTGGTCCACGTTCTCTAACCTCTGCACCACCATTCACCCACCTCCCTTGTTTTTCCTCAAATCCATACATGTTCAAAATTAGCACGCCCAAATACAGACGTAAACAAAGACCCCTAATAATTGGGGGTTAAATGTCCCTCAGCTTCCCCTCATCCGCTGCTTTCGTGTACCCATCAAGAAGCTTCTGGCAGATATTTGACCAGTCGTCTTGGCAGAATTGGTGGAGTTCAATTCAACTGGTTGGTTTCTTGAACCAGACATGGATTATAATCTTAATTTCATTGGGCTGAAGTCGAGACTTTGTGAAGCTCAGAAGCTTATTGTTAGCCTGGGGGGAGTGGTGGTGCAGAGGTTAGAGAAGGTGGGCCTGTGATTGGAAGGTCACCAGTTCAACTCCCTGGACCGACCACAAAATTTTGTTGGTAAAGGTGAAGCGCCCACACATGCCTCCACCCTCATTTGCCCCACTCTGGGCCCTTGAGCAAGGCTCTTAACCCCCACCATCTGCTCCCCCAGACGCCCTAGATGGCAGCTCTCTGCTCCACACAGAGGGCTGTGGTAGCTCATGGTCTGTGGTTGTGTCAGGAAGAGCATCCGGTGTAAAAAGAATCGCCGAGTCTTTGTGCGAGTTGGTTCGCTGTGGCGACTCAAGAAGAAGGGAGCAGCCGAAAGAAGAGAAAGAAACGCTTATTGTTATCCAATCAGAACCAATTACGATGTGCCTTTGGGACACCTGTCCCGTTAGACACAATTGGGTCAAAGTTTCAACCATCTAACTGTTGATTTGAGCTGAAGGTAAATAATTTGGAGGTAGTCCTTCTGCATAATCACATCCACTTGAACCACAGCATGATGCTCCCTTCACCATGCCTGACAGCTGGTATGGTATTCTCAGGTTGAGACACTGAACAGTTGCCCTGGTGTTCCAGCAGTTCCAGGTTTGAGCCTCTGGTTACTGGGTTGTTCCTGAACATCCTGATCTGCCACTCTCATCCGAAGGAGACAGTTCTGGTCTTCTTCAAGACTTGGTGACACGTCTGAATAACTTGGACCTACAAATAATTGTTTAAACCGACATATTTGATATCCAAGATTCTTTAGAAACGACTCCATTTTGGGGAAACCCCCTTTTTGTATCTCCACATGTTCCTTGAACTTTTGCGCTCTTCTCCAATGAGCGCTGCCAAACAGGTCCGTTTGGTGCTGGAAATCAGAAACTACCAGCTCGATCAGGATCACCAACAAAAAGTTAAAAGGCTCTGGCCTTGTCGAGTTAAAGGACATTCAAGAACCTTTAGGAATGTCTAACCAAATATCAAGGGGGCTGTATGTATATATTTGAGCCTGTATGTGAAATTTTGACCCGTACAAGACAAAATCTACAAGAAATTAAAACTTGTGAGCCCAATTCTTGTTCTTGAAAATATGAAAAAGAAAAGTAACGCTCATGAGTGTATGTAAACTTTTGAACTTTACCAGTGATGTTAGTTGGACAGATTTTAAAAAGGCAGAAGGCAAGCAGAGGTCTTGCTGTCGCTGCACACACCCGTACAGCCAGTGTTTGTACCTTTTTTGGGGGGGTATATTAGCTGTCCTTCTCATGAGACACCCCCCAGGAGAGAAGACAAAGAGAAAGGACAGAGAGATCAGTGGACGGCTGTGGGATGAGAGATGACGTGGATGAAAGGAGGCCGAAGAGAAAATAAAAAAAGGCGTGAAAGCACAACAAGAGCAAAGGGAAGCGGCGACTTGAGCACAAAACTCTGGAAAACATAAAAAAAGGAAAATTAGATGAATGAAACCAAGATGAGTGAGAATATTACAGCACGAGACGGAGAGGAAACGCAGTGAGGCTGCAGATCCATGTAACTGGTAACCATGGCAGCAGAAGCAGATAAAGAGCAGAGCAAAAATTAAAAAAATTAAAGATTACCAGAGATGATGAGGGCAGGGGTGTGAGGAGGGAGAAAGAGAAACAATTCAAAGGTCAACAGAGAAAAATGTTTTTAAAACAGAAAACAAGTCATGACTGGCCGTGGGCCGGTTTACGGTAAACCCCGGAGCGTAAAAGTCACCGAGTCAGAACCGCTTTGTTCTCCTGTCACTCCCGCTTAAACTCCTTTGAATTAAGGAAACTGGGCTGAGCTTTATCGGTGCTCCTCACCTGCCGCTGCGTAAACCGTCCGTTAGCTTTACGGCAGGAACAGCGTGAACGCCGCGCGGCGCCGGTGGAAAAACGCCAGACGTGAAGCGTGTTGCAACAGCGCAGCAGCTTTAAGCTAGTCGCCTCGTTTTTGATCTTTCCGACCACAAAAGAAAATCTCAGCAACGGATCGCCACGTTTTCTGTTCCGACTGTTGTTTCTTTATGTTAACAAGATTTTGAACTTCAGCTAAACAAAAGAGCGTTAAAAAAATAAAATAAAATTCATGTGAAATTGATATTCTATAAAGTAAATAAATTCTATAAGCAGAAAAATTATTTCTGTAGACAACGCTGAAAACAAGTCCCTCGGCACTAAGAATAATTTTCACCATTTAAAACAGTGCTATAAGTTAAGTTAAAAGCTGCAGCTCCGACTGACTTCAGCCTCCTTCCCTGAAACAAACCATGGTAGAAAACTTTTTTTTTAGCTGTGCCTTATAAGAGGAACAGTGCGAGGTGGTGCGACATTAATAAATCAGCAGCTTATCATATCGCTAAAGACATGGTCCCAGTCTCAACTGTGGAACAAGACGGCTAATGCTTCTGCCGCTAAGAACCGTGTCTTTAGCGATATGATAAGCTGCTGCTTTATTAATGTTGAGCCACCTCTCTCTGTTCCTCTCGTAAGGCCCAGCACGACTAGAGTTTTATACCGTGGTTTGTTTCAGGGAAGGAGGCTGAAGTCTGTTGGACCTGCAGCTGCAGTTCACACATGCTTACTAACGTCACGAAGGCGGCGCAGCTGAAGAGGATTATTATTTAATATATGTAAATAAAGGTCTAAAAAATTAACAATTTAATTTATGTATATAGTTTATTTTTTAGACATTTATTTTGTACAGTTAATAAATGTGCTTGTGTGACAACTGAGACAAAGCTTTGACTCAGAAATATATTTTTATTACTTTATGGGGAATTTTTTTTTATATATATATCGCATATCACCATTTATCTTAAAATATCGAGATATTAATTTTGGTTCATATCGCCCAGCCCTATTTGAAGCTAAAAGCAGAGTGGTAGCTATGCAGGAATGTTTCTTAAAGGAATTGAATGAATTTCTTTGAAGAAAATATTTTAAATAAAAGGTAAAGAAGTGCATCAGAGTGAAATAAACCAAAAGTCACGGCCTTCTTCAGCTGAATGAGCCGAACGTTTTGATATAAGAACGGCTAAAACCGACAAAGTCTGCAAAACTAGTCAAGAGTCCAGAAGACACTTGGAAAACTAAAAAAAAAAAAAAACAAGGAAAAAGAGAGTTGCTATGGAAACCCCAACGTCTAATTAAAGAGAGCATACACAAAACTATGTTTTCAGGGGCGGCGGAACTGAGTCGACGTGTGGATCAGCGTAATCGGTTTTGACACGCGTTGTTCGTGGCTTTGTGTCTCGCCCTGACAATGTTCAAGAAGGGAATCCCCCCCAAGCGTTTTCTTTTATTAAGAAAACAACAAACAAACAGCCCATCGATTGAAAATGTTAACAGGTGCAACAGCACAGAAGGTCAGAGTGTCGCCCACGAGCTAAAAGGGTTACTGTGTTGGCCGGAGAAACAGCCTGATGCAGGCTAGCTAACAAGGCTAACACTTCGGCTAATCCAACAAAGTTCAGTCAGATCATCAGGACACTTTATTTTTTTGTTGAGACGTTTCGTCCATGAGTCCGAGGCGCCACAACAAACTGAGAAAGTGAGTTGATGAGACATGAAGAGATGTTAGAGGACAACTTTTAATTTGAAAAACTGAACAGCTTGGACTCTTTTTAGGGTGTGTTTGAAACGTCTCAACAAAAAAAGAAACCGTCCAGATGACCTGACTGAACTCTGTTGGATTTTCTACCTGGATTATTGAGCGTGAACTTTGATGTTTTGAACCACTTTGGCTCTGGCTGCCTCAGAGGAGTCGACGGGGGAGTGGGCGGGCCCCAGAAACCACCTTATCACCAGCAAACTGGTTGGTCCACTATGTGAGTGTGCTGCTTGTGGGACTGAGTTTGTTGTGGCTCCTCGGACTGATGAAGTCCTTTGGATGAAGGATGAAACGTCTCAATAACAAAAAAAGAAACCGTCCAGATGACCTGACTGAACATAGCTGGATTTTCTACCTGGATTATTGAGCATGACCTTTGATACTTGGGCTAATTCCCGTGCTAACATCAGCCGCAGCCTCAACGTTACTCTGCAAAAAGCAAAACGACAGCAAAGAAGCTAAAATTATGTTTACTTTATATTTTTGTTTAGTTCTTCTACGATTGAGCACATCGGATTATATAAATAAACACTAAAACCGCAGTATTTATACACAGGTCACACCGGCCCACACCTACTCATGAAAAAAACACAAGACCAGACAAGAAAGAATAAAAAATAAATCTGCCACTGAGATAATGAGTTGATGAGACGTGAAGAGATGTTAGAGGGCGACTTTTAATTTGAAAAACTGAACAGCTTGGACTCTTTTCAGGGTGTGTGTTTGAAACGAGTATCTGCAATCTGCTGTTTGAAAAGTTGCTTTCTTTTAACAAGAACTTTGTTTTGAACAAATGGAGCAATGCAGAAAAAATAAAGCGCCAATTGAAACCTAATATTAACTTGTGCCGCCATTTGTTTTATTTTTTACCGTTTCTTATCTATTTTTTAGTGAAGAAATGTTCAGTGCTTAAAGGTAAAGACTTTTTTTTTTTTTTTTTTTTAATTAGACTCGTGTTGTAACATCCTAACGCCCCACCCCTGTGTGAAAAAGTCAAACTGTGAGGAGGAGGAGGTGAGGAAGGACTGGTGAGATCATTTCCTGTGTATTCAAAGGAAAACTTTATTGTAGATAAACTTTAACCTGAAATAATCAATCCTGTCGCTGGCACACGACGCTAAGAAGCATAAACATCGTCAAACTCTAATATTCTAAAAAAAAAGACTCCTGCACTTGGAACCTTAGGGCATTTAGAGGATTTTGAAGCTTTTACTTTGGAAGGAAAGGTGAGTGGAAGCAGGTCTCCATCTAGTGGAGCTGAAGGAAACCGCAGCGGGAACTCACCGTCCAGCTCTTCGTCGGTCGTCAGCTCGTCGTTGGAACAAATGCTCAAAATGTTCACGAGCATCTCAGTCACTGCGAGGAGAGCAAAAACAAACAATTATTTGTTTGTTTTAACAAATTTTTACTTCTCAAGAAAGAAAACTGCCCGGAGCACCGACCTGTTTTAGACAGACAACATATAGACATACATACAGACAACAAGATACAACTGTCAGCAGCATAGTCCTGTTAGAGTGGTTCTGTTAGCAGAGTGGTTCTGTTAGCAAAGTGGTTCTGTTAGCAAAGTGGTTCTGTTAGCAGAGTGGTTCTGTTAGCAGAGTGGTTCTGTTAGCAGAGTGGTTCTGTTAGCAAAGTGGTTCTGTTAGCAGAGTGGTTCTGTTAGCAGAGTGGTTCTGTTAGCAGAGTGGTTATGTTAGCAAAGTGGTTCTGTTAGCAGAGTGGTTCTGTTAGCAAAGTGGTTCTGTTAGCAGAGTGGTTCTGTTAGCAGAGTGGATCTGTTAGCAAAGTGGTTCTGTTAGCAGAGTGGTTCTCCGAGCAGCACGGTCCTGTTAAGAGTGGTTCTGTTAGCAAGTGTGGTTCTGTTAGCAGAGTGGTTCTCCTAGCAGCACGGTCCTGTTAAGAGTGGTTCTGTTAGCAAGTGTGGTTCT